TTTAACCCCAAAAAAAAAAAAAAAAAAAAAAAAAATCCAGATCGTCAGATACAGAGAAGAATCTGAATACTTCCAGAAAGAAAAAAGGAAGCCACATGTAGCGGATCAGTAATTAGAATGGTATCAGACCAAAGAAACAGTTGAAACAAGAAGATAACAGAGCAATACCTTTGAAATTAAAAAATAAAATATTTTCTACCCTTAAATCCTACATCCAATAAAGTATTAATCCAATTGAAAATAGAATTAACAGATTTTTTAAAAGTGTAAGACACAAAGTGTTCCATTCTATGGATCTATTTTGGGAAAGTTTAGGAAGAGGAGGTGCTTAACCTAAACAAAAGTGTAAAGCAAGAAACAAGACAAAAAAAAAATAGGAAACATGCTGAGAGAGACAATGGGGATCCACGGGCACAGAGAAAGCATAATTTAAACCCGACAGTGTGCAACAGCTGACCTGTGGACTACCCAGGAGGGACAGAGGGCTGAGATGGGGTTCAGTGGTGGAGCCACTGCTTACCTTGCACGAGGGCCTGGCTTGGATCCCCAGCAACACAAAGCAAACAGGAGGGATGGCACCAAGAATACAGCTCAGGATAAAACGACTGACATAATTCACCTTGTCCAGAGATCTTCAGTTCAGTCAGAGAATTTGGAGACTAACAAGTAATAGGCATACAGAAACTACACAGCTCAGTTACAACAACAGCAGAGTCACAGTGTCATGGTATAAACACTGACTACTCATTTAGCCCCAAACTGACAAATATGCTGGGAGGTGAAAAGAAGCACACATGCACGCGGAGTGTGTGTGCACGGGATGTGTTCTGGGGAGCATGCAAGAGGCCGAACACTTCATTTTACATGGCAAGAGGTAAATAATATAATATCACAATTGAAAAGTAACAGACGTGTGAGTATGTTTTCATGGTGGTGCACACCTGTAGCACAACACTGGATGGCTGAGGTACAAGGGTCCCAACTTCAAGCTCAGCCTGGGCAATTTAGTGATTGAGAGCCCATCTCAAAATAAAAAATAAATAAAAAGGGCTGGGTACGTAGCTCAGTGCAAAGGCCCTGAGTTCAATGTCTAGTATCAAAGAAAAAACAAAACAAACCTGAAAGCTAAAAAGGTTGAGCAAGGTCCTGCTGAAAGTTGATAAAAGAGAAGAGTATTTTCCATTTTAACTCATACAGGACAATTTCAGCTTTGAAATTATGAATATGGATTAATTTCATAAAAAT